GAGCCGTCGGAGCATTGTTGCTTGGAGAACCTCAGAGGTTCCCCAGCCAAACCTGCATGGCCCATTCTACCAGCACACATGGTTACATGTCAACGAGGTCCATCCTTGCTGTCTCGACAACAAACCGTCCCGTCTCAACGAACCCTTTCTTCCCCGGCCTCTCAACCCCCGTCCTTTTTTCAAACCGACGTCGCTCAATATCGATTCCGTGCAGCAGGGTTCAGCGCATTTAAAGGAACGTCATGATGAGAATGGCTTATCAGATATTTTTTGTCTAGAAGACTAGGATGGGTCATTTTTAGAGAGGGTGACGATGAACTCGTTCACCATATTCTTCCACTATCAAGGTACACATCAAGATATAAAAGGAAAAAGAATGTCATATCGTAAGGTGTCTCGAGCAAAGTAAAAAAGAAGAAAGCGTAAAATCCCTCAAAAGGAGCGTGGTAAAAGAGGGAATCTGGTAAAATCGTCATCATGAAAACCGCCCGTAATGCCAAAGGCCCCGAAACGCCGACAACACAATAAAAGTACAGCAAAGTATGCAAGGCGCCGGTATAAATGAAACTCAACCAAAAAACATACGCCACGAAAAAAAGAGAAAGGGACAAGAGATAAAAGAATGATTTCAAAAAAGAAAGAAAACATCTGGGATATCGTAAAAAGAAAATAAGAAAAGATAAACAGTACGTCGAGGATAAGAAAAATTTTTACCACCCAATAAAAGTACATGCAATCCACATTCTCCATTCTCGCCGTTATTTGGATGCAATCTCCTTCGGGGCCCAGACCTCCTTTTCCACAGTGAGCAGTGAAGCAACAGCACACTTCTCTATCCGATGACTGGCGTTGGCGGATGCGTTGGAGTCCCTTCGTCCACGGTCATGCTCGTTGATAGCGCGAAATGCAGCCGGGGCCGGTAGAGGAAGTTGCGGGCCATCAGGGAGCTCCTCGTGAATAGTTGGAGTCAAGCTCTTGGGGCTGCATCTCGGAGTGGGCATGGGCAGCACACGCTCGGGGCTCGATGCAAGAGCAGAGTGGAAGAAGGCTTCTTCAAGTTTGGGGCCAGAGAGCTCTGGGTCCTTGGAGTATTCCGATGCGATGAGGGACCAGAATGAGTGGCGGTATGCGTCGTAGAGGCTGCGAAGCCGGAGGGTGTCGATCTGGTAGTGATTGTATTGGTTGTGATCTGGGAACGACGTTTCGAGGCGGAGCTGCTTGTCAAACCCGTAGTTGGCGGGTTGGGCGGAGTGTAGCTGGCTGACAGGTTTGGGAAGGATTGGGACATGCAAACGTGAGCATTGAGGGGAGTTCGCAGCAGAGGAGGGCGCTGAGCAATTCTCTGATGGAGGGGTCCTTGGTGGGGATGGAGCAAGGGCCTCTTTGTCTTGGGGCTGTTCTTCGACCCCGTAAGAAGTAGTGCATGAGCTCACGATTGATGAAATCGATTCACTGCGTCGCCGGCGGTTGCTTCCATAAAGCATTTGGTGATAGTGGAGCCGACATGCCAACTCTGTCTTTCTGAGGTGTAGAGCAATGTGCTTATACGGCATTTTATGCATGCGAGATCGGACAAGATACACTTCCTAGTAAGCGTTAGCATTTCACGAAGATGCAATACCAAGCAAAATGTAGTTTACCTCTTCTTCAGTCCAGGCTCTTCCAGCTCCTGCAGATGCGGACCTTTGGTGCTTCTGCACGCCATGGCTGCTACGGCCGGTATCACCAGACGGTTTTGGAGACCGAAACCGTGATGTTTTCAGGATATCAGCTGCTGAGATTGGATGCATGGTTGATTCGTAGATCCGGATAGCAGTGGATGCTTCGTTCAAGGGTATAGATGATAAGGAATTTTTATAGCTCTGGTGGCAGACGTCTAGTATTAATTAATAGAGCAGTAGAAGATCATCAAGATCTTGCAGGCCAAAGATGAATTATATAGGCCCAACCAGGGGCAAAGAAGGTAAAGAAAGACAGAAAGGCACCAGAGTTTTTGCTCGTTGCGAAGAGGAAGGATTGGATGTGTAGAACAAAACGGAAAACAATTGAACAGAGGGGGAAAACTCGAGCGTTATCTATAGTGACGGCCTTGCGTTCGATCTCCCAAAGTAGTTCTCCATCCCTGTCACGCTTCTGCATGAAGCTTGGAATGTGATGGCTGGAGCTGGAGCTGTTTCTGAATCCATGTCCCTCGTCGACAGAAAGCGGGACGCCTAGTTTTGTCTCGACTGTCCAAAACCCGAGTCTTGTAACAGAAGAAAGTCTCAACTTCGCCCCGAACAGGCTAGACGGCATAGAGGGCAATGGTCGGATCCGTCAACGAGCGTTTCCTAAACTGGCGATCAGTGGACGGATTGACGCATCAACTCTTGACCAAGGCCATTCTGAGTCCATTGAGTTTTAGACCCCTGATGCCTTCATACAGGGCAAAACGGTCAAAGTGTCAGCACGAGCCGCCACTGACCCAGAAAAGGTTGGTGTATCCACCGACGCAGGACATTTCAACCAGTTTGTTTATGCTTTCGAGATTCAACGCCCGTCTCGACGCCACTACTCTCGACGCCAGTCTGTGGATGATTTGACAATTGAAAGGGGGAAAGTTGCCTTTCTCCGCGTGTGATTTGTGTCAGAGCAAGACACCGAGTGAAGAAGCTTGCATTGTTTCATATCCACACCCGCATGGAAATCAAGGTTTTCTTTTTTTTCCCTCTCCTCCACGTCCTCTATTATTCCCGATACTTCGAGGGGAGAACCTTTTTTGCCGAGAACTTTCGGAACATCCTGACGGGACGAGGATGTGTCAAGCGGAGGGAAAGACTCGTTCGCCAGGGGTAAAGGGTATATGCCTCGTTGGGACCAGCTGCTGCCAGGGGTGCCGGCGGACAGAAGAACCTTTAGCCGTGGGTGCCGAGCATGGATTCCCAGCTCCGGATGCAGGACGAGGATCCCAGATCCTCAGATCACGGGCTGTCAAGCGCGAGCAGGTGGTGATCGTTCTCTCTGAGGGTGTCTCATTGGCAGCGATGCACCGCCGACGGTTGATGGCCGTTTCAGGTACCAAAAGTCCAGCCCACCAGGTTTCACATGACGAACGCCACGTGCCGGCTGATTA